TTAGCATGCTTCGTACTATCCATGAACGTCAATACCGTCAGCCTCTAAACCATCATTTCAGAAAGCCTCGGAGGAAAAAATAACTTTTATACTAGTCTAGAGTTAAATCTTATCCCAGATGGACTAGCACCTTGATCATTTCTAAAAACAAAATTCTGAATACTGCTTACAACCTAGAACTTCTACCATGTAAAACGTCTTTTAGCATATAGAAACTTTTCGGCGAAATTACTGGTGGAGATAAGCGAGGCATTATTGTTGCGTCTTTTGTTGTAAATACTCCCAACAAGTCTTCCATACGCTATCCTGCTGACTTTACAATATTATTTCAATTCTTATCTATGTAGGACACGCCAGTTGTACAGACATACCATTACTAACGATACAAAGCATTAGTTCAGAAACTTTCATGGTTTAAATAATCCTGACGTTCTCAAGTGTCTCGAATCTCTATACCCTACTCGAAGCCTTGTTCCTGAAAGTGCACTTGCTGTTGTCCTAATTTGACCTGCGGATATTTTATGCTGTCCTATTACGAACATTTTTGCTTCTTTTCTTCCAGTAATAATGAACTCGTAGCGTGGAAAGACATCAAATTTATTCGGTAACCTAAATCACATACTAGACCGAGAGTTACTTCCAGACCTATCACAATAGCTTTTCCTCTTTTGAAATTAATGGAGGAATTACTTTCACTCAGCTCTGTACATCCCTAGGAGAGTATTTAAAAAGTTCGCATATAAACAAAGCAGAAGTACTGTAGATGCCACTACTGTCTCACACCGTAATGCTGTTCCCGACTCATTTGAAGGGGTTAAATTTGTTGGATGTGCGTTCCTTGACTACATTGCCTCCTTAACTCTGTGCATAGATCCTTTTTGTTACATGAGCTTTCTCTGACACTGACTGAGACCTGGTCGCGTATTCAAAAACAATACAGTTTACTGTACATAAAAGCAAATCTTCTTCGCACCAGCTAACTGGAGTCCCTCAAGTTGCTGTTCTCTTTCCTCTTCTTTTATCTTGAATGACTTGCCTTAATGGGAGTAAATCAACCTCGTTACATAAATGAATATTCTGAATGCCTCGTAGCCAATATTGTCCTTATACAATTTATTAACCTGTGTAATTTACCCACCGTTCTTTACTACCTCCCTTTGGCTGTTCCTGTGCTATTCTGGAAAGGTTATGCCACAATGCAAGGGGTAACAATGGTCGTCAGCGGCGGTTCCATTGTTGTATATCTACCTCAAATATGCAGAATGAAATAATTTAGCACCTTTCAAGCTATCATAACGAATACTCTCCAAAAGAGGCATTTTCGTTATCAGAGTTAGCGTGAATTGAAACAAAACAAAAATGGTTTATTAGGAAGGGATGGGGATGAAAACCCACGAGATTTATGAAGCACTGAAGTGGTGAAAGCAAGATTAGATTAACTCATAGTCTACTGAGGGGGTGAAGTGACTAGAGGAATCTAGTGTTAGAGTTAGACAGAATGCCAACCAGTCAGCAGATATTATAATTCATTAAAAATGCAAAACAATCCGTCTGCTTAAACGGACGAAGCGATGTGACAAAGGAAATGCTGAAATTTCACGTTCCAGATATGTTTGAAAAACTGGTGTTTATTCACTACAAGTGGGAATTCATACCCGAGACGCTAAATCATGAAAGGCTTGTGAGTTTTCATAGAGCTATTCAGTAGGCAGCAACCAAATGCGATTTCTGTCGAGAGTGGTTGAAGGATAATTAGATCTGTGGAGAAAAATTTGCTCAGCATTCAGTAGGATTATATAGGGTTGGAAATACATAATGCTAACCCAGTCACAGGAGTTGCTGGCCCATATATCAGGCTAATTGATCACTCTTAGGCCTGGTGCTATCTGATTGCCCAGACTGGATGGTTAACCTTGTCATCTTACCAACAGTTGAAATATTTCGGATGATCTAGTGGGTATATGTCAATGTGCTCACCCATACTATCTACCAAGCTTATTGCATCGTTTGATTTCAGAAATCAGTGTTTTTAACAGCAAAGAAATTACCACTGATTAGTTTGTTGACAATGTAGCCTCTGGAATGTAGTTGTGGTTGCATAAATGATATGACTTAAAACTAACAAATTTTGCAGAAGAGTCAATGTGACAAATTTCCTCGTGAATTTGAGGTGTAAATTACAAATAGATCCGCTTAACCATGGGGGTTCCGATTTCGTTTGAATACATTAATGAGCATATACTTTTCGTAAGAAATTTTTCGAAGCTTTCGGCTTTTTTCGCGGGTTGGCTTTAGGTTATAGTATATGATGTAGCAGTATTCAAGTTTGGGTGAGTAAATGTTCTCCCTTATACTTAATCTGGTACTTAGTATGCGGAAATTTCAAAAGATGAAGCCAGTAGAGAGTTTATGGTCGTGTCTTAATTGGCGTGGCTATGAAATATCAGATCCTATATCGAGATCCGTTTCAGAAAAGGTTTCAGTATATGCACAGGCACATGTTAGATTTTCAACGTCCAGGATAGCATATCCTGCAGTTTTGTGGATTGAAACTTAGTTGTCATTCCTCACTGCTAAAGTCGTGTTGAATTTTATGTTCAATACGCTATTGTGGCAATCTGCAGAGAGGTATGGTTCGCCATACTTGACCACGAGGACTGTCGTTCATGAATAACAGAGGTAGTATAGGATCAAGAAGGCTATACTGCAATGCGCCGTTGTATATCGGCAAATGTAAACAAGGCTGGTGATTACTTTTGATCACGTATTTATTTCCTTTGAGAAAACAGCTTATCCAATAGTTGATTCACATAGTTTTATTCTTCCTAAAAATCACACGTGCAGAAAATGTATCCACATTTTTCTGTTATCACTGTATAGTCTTCCTATTCAACGCCGTTAATGTGGTTGAGTCACAACGAGAATCACAGTGATAGCTTTGAAGTGAAATGAATAGTAAGGCAATATGGCCTACTATTTACCGGGATATTCCTGATTGTGGTAGACTGGGTCATGCGACATAGCATGCAAGATGTGAAGACAAACATGTTGAGCAAGACTCCAGGTGAATTGAACATCGTGGACGATTTCTGGTCTCAAACAAACTCGAAGGTCTATGGGCGAAAGCCAACAAGTTGGCAAATGAAGTCAGGATGTCAGGATTTTAAGTGAAGAGGAGAAGACAGAGGTGATGAAGATATCCACCAATCACTATCAGGGAAAGTCATTCTAACAAAGTCAACGCTGTCACTTATCTAGTCAGAATGTTTCCAAATAGAGGCAGAACCGATGACTTCAAAGCCAGGATCGTTAAGATAAGAAACACCCCTAATAATGATAAATAAGTTTGGAAGTCTTCCGCATCCAGCATAAGAAACCAGATTCAGATTTTAAAATTTATTTCAAATCAGTTATTCTGTATGTTTCAGACACTTGAAGTGATTGTGACGAGAAGCCCTTTCAACACACGACAGCTTTCTATCAACTTCGCTCCATATTAGGGTTCAGATAATTGGCTGTGAACATGGACAACGAAGCAGCCAGAAGCGTATCTCCCACAGTTCCAATGTTGGCGAACATTGAACAGATGTCCAGTAACATCGCCTATTCGGACTAGTTTCATTTTCCTTGGAGGTGAAAATCGCTGCTGCGGACCCACCATTTGATGGTCGGTAGAAGATCAGAGCAATAACATCAGAATTAATGATGTTATATATAAATATATACATATTACGCAACTGTGGACTTGATTATCCAAGAGCTGTATAATTAACCTTGCTGTATTGGTTTGTTGTTGGTTGAACAACAAATCATCGACACACCAATTTGTCTTTTATTATCACTCACAATGAATTCCATTTAATTATAAAGTACCAAATCCTGTCCGGACTTCTGGGAAGTTGTATTATGACTTCCCCAATAATTCCCGATAGCGTTTTTGACAGTTTCTGATCCACTCTGTTTACAGTTTTTTCTGTAGCAGAGGAAGACACTCCTAACACATAAACATTATTATTCAGTATAGCAAACTTCTCACAGTTCAAAACTAGTGAAAGCATTAAGTTCTGCGAGTACCTGTTGGCAATCTTCTTACAGTGTTTTGTATTTCTCTCTTTCACTTTGTGCTTCCTGAATATTATTTTTCTCTCCTAATACCATTTCTCCTGTCAGTTATGTTCCCATAATATCTATTTCTGAGTGTAAGCCAAATAAAAAGTGACGTGTTTGACATCTGGTGGTGGTGCGGATCATGCGGAGAAGAAAAAGAAGGCTTTCGAAAGCAGTGGGACGTGCTGAAATTGATGACAGAGGAGAGAGTCAAATGAAGCTATTCATCTGAAGCCTCATGTCTCACTGGGAACTGAAGAAGTGAATTACAGTTATAGCTTACCATCACAGTCAATTATTGACTGCAAGCAACTGAAAGTTTCAGTAGCAACACTCTTCTGGAACATGTGATGCATCCGCGACTTAATTAATCTAAATTGGCACGCTCATTGCACTTCAGCTGAATTAAAGCAAAAGAAACTGGTATTTACCACATATCCACAAGTGCAGTGTAAACGTATGAAGCTAGAACTAAGGAGTCAGCAGGATTACGAAAGTGAATCGGGCAAGCACTGAATGTTGCAGACATAAATTTTGTTTGTATACATCAGATCACATATTTCACCAGGTCACAGAAATGATACTTTACAAAATCGTAAGCAGATGTACATTTTTGAAAATCTCAACTGGGATGGAAAGTATGACAAACATTTGATTTCCGTTGGTAAGAATATTGTCACAACTAATATTAAAGATGGTGATATGAAGAGTTTGAACTCTCCGATTTCTGATAAGGTCAGACAAGGTATCCCAGAGAAAAATTTGTGTTCATTGTTTTGTGGTGGGTCAAAATGTAAATATTGTGACCCACCATCACACTTTGATGTCTCAAAAATGCAAATTTACGGATTGTACTCAACATGGTAGTTTTTCTATTATTAACCGGGTTAGGATAACACCAAATATCTTAGCGTCATCAAGACCTAGTCAGGATTTGGTGGACAAATTTGCCATTATTGATCAGTTTCAAAAGTAAAATCCGTTGTAAACTTATTTTTTGAGGATGAATATATGCTCTATATTCAACATGCAAACACCAGGGGAGCACAGTAGTTGTGGTTACGGTGTGCTGAGCTCTGGATTTTCATATGAACCATCACAATTTATGCAGAGAAATAGTGAGTTTCTTCTCATCTCAAAAAAATTATGGGAAGTATTTTTTTATAATTTTAGCTGGTTTGTCGTGATTTCATCCTTAAACACCAAAATGTTTAGGTGTGATTACGGTGTTGCTTCACTCTCTTTTATTCTCGACACTGTAGTAGTAATTCAGTTTTCAATACTAAAAGGGAAAGTCGCTATTCACTGCTATGCTGGCCTAGGTTTGTTGACATATACTCTTAACATTTTTTAGGTCGAACTGGTGTAATAATTGCTTGTTACTTGGTATTTAATAACCGCATTTCAGCTGGTGAAGCCATCCGGTATGTCAGATTTAGAAGGTTAGTATGTAACGATATAGTCATTGCCTTTCTCTAGACCAGGGTCTATACAGACACAAAATCAGGTTGAAAGCATTTATCAGTTTGAAAAGTTCCTACATCTTTATCGAATAAACTTTGGTTCTCAGTAGGTTCTCTTGACCTCTCAGTAAAATGATTTAGTGAACAATTTAGCTTAAGCACATTTTTGCAAAGGCAAAACGCCCTATTCCATGGGTCAGAACGAAGGAAACTTAGAAATATTCCCAAAGTAAGCTAATTTTTTTCAACTTTAGCGAAACGCAAATTTATTAATCTATGGGGACTTTACAGCATATTAGTAGATATAATGCCGTAAACAAACATCTTTTGCACAGCTATATATATATATATATATATATGCACCAAGTTCATTTCTTAATAGATTTCGATACTTTCCAAGTATTAACTTTATTTGCAGCAACGAGAAAGCATATATCTTCGTAATATTTCACAAAGTATGCAACACTTGGGACGTAGCAAACCAAGGAAAAAGAATTTACATATGAAATATTGAAATTCCCATCGTAAAATTTCATCTTTCATTTTATTTAGGTAATGATATTCTTGAACCAAGAGAGCTAATGTTTTTATGCAAAATGTGTTGCACAGCTATTTCAGTCATACACTCTGTGAACGGTATGTTAATAAAAATATTAGAATTCCTTAGATGAAAATCAAATGACAGCATGTAATCACCATTTCGCGGCCCGTTTATTCTTGTACTGTATGAAAATACTGCATGTAGAAGTGCACAATAAAAGCATGTTGCGTTTGGTCGACAAGCACCTGTTTCATTGATTCGGCATACTACTTATTATTTTAATGCCTAAATAATCTTATTCTTCTGTTTTCACTTCAGCGACTATCTATATATAGTGAACTAAAATTCGGTCATTCATTCTAGGAGTTGCTTTGTTCGATTCAAATTTCATATAATATGGAGACTTTGTTAGAATTTCCCTTCGTTTGTCAATAAAATATTTGACACACACATTTATTCGCTCAAGGAAGTTTACCTTACGTAAAATTTAAGGAAACATTTGAACCTGTTAGGATGAATAGTTTCATTAAGCTAAAAAGTTGCCGAAATTGTATATCTGCATGGTGGGGAACTTTTTCAAATGAAAATGATAAATATTTGTATATTTATCAAACGGTAAAATGCATTTACTGACTTTTAGTATTTTTTAATTCGAATTTTTATCTTTTCATCCGAACTCATATAGCGTGTTGTGGTTTTTCATATAACTATCCCTTAGTCAGGCTTTCAACAGACAGGCATATGTAATTGCGTCTTTTTTGATTAAATTTTCATGGTTCGTTATAAAACACACCTATATTAAGTTACAGCCTCATTACGAACTCCTCAAGTTGGGTTAATAGATAAATCAGTTGATTGATCGTTTTTCATTCCTTTGGGACTAAGAAGTGTCGGATGCCCGGCGCTCTTCACCGGGTTGACTGTCCACTGGATGACAGTCTAGGGGAGATGGCTAAACCCTGATTCCAAACCTCCAACGACTGGCGTATGAAGCTCACTGGAGCTCACCCGCAGACGTATGGACAAAGGGCTTGTTGGATGTCCTGGATGTCTGGCCCCATTCAAAAAGGCGCATGAACCGAACTCCGGTCACCGGCTGCCAATGGATAGTGGACTCCCTACTCCACTCCTACTGCCTTGTAGGTCACACTTGGTTGTGTAAAGGCTAGAGCTGCACTCTCAAACAAAAGGCCGAGCGATTCTGGGGACATCACTCGTACCAAATTCCCATGAAACTTCGTAAACTCTCTTCATCAGATCGCTGCGCCTGGGCGGCGATGATTCGAGATGTTCACGAAGCCGGCTCATCCTTCCGTAGGAGATAGCCGAAGCAAAGTAAAGTAAGTATAAGCAATACTGTATTGTTTTTTCATCATAGGCAGTTTTTAAATATCACCCAGCAATTGAAAATGTTGAATATAAGCCTTACGAGGAATTGAGAATACCTCGAAAGTTGAATGACCACAAGATGGACTTCAAAATCCAGTGCATTATATAATCATATCAATGGCTACTTCACCTACATCGTGTAGTAAACTTTTTCCTAACAGCAGGTTACCACTTGTTATCACTGCAATAATGGCGATTTTAACTACGAACCAGATATCTCTTTCGGCTTTCACACTGATTAACCACTAGGTGGTATTTAACGTTTATTTTCCGGAGAAGTTAAACCTTGATCACTCAGGTAACTGATTGTGGAATTCACTTTATGATAACTAAGCAAATAGAGTAATTTCACGGAGTCGAGACGTTAATATTATCGCTAAAAAGTACTCGTCTAGACATGGAAAAAGAACAAACAGTTCAGCAAAGAGTTTTTCCTGAGTGAATACGTAACCAATACAAATAAATATCTACGTATGTATGTACAAAGCACAAGGATAAAAACTAGTTTGGAGCATTGTTTATATCGTCAGAATGTTTTAAAATAGTTATGAATAACCACAATTCTAACAAGAGGGTGAAGATTAGTAAGTTTAGACTAAGGCTAAATAATATGAAATACGTTCAGAAAGTCTGGGTGTTAATACATTAAGCATACTCAGTTGGTGAGCAGTGTGTATTAATTAATAAAGAGTAAAATCAATAGACGTTGTGATTATTTTTCAAATATTTTACAATAATGTATCATTAATTCCTATGTGGAAACTGCATACTTTTGTCATGCTTCGAATACTTTCATTTACTAACTAACTTACACATCATCAGGGTGAAGTGGCTGCACTTGAGTTATCTATACAATTGTAGCATTTGGACTTATTTCACTGAAGTGTTTGTTGTAGTATGGCTTCTCGGGAATTTTACTTTAGTAGAAAAAATATCGTGTAATATATTTTATTGTAACTTAGTTTAGCTCATTTCCCTGTCATATTTATGTCTTATGAAAAAGAGAAGAAATTCAGCGAAGAGACTCTTTTCGGCGAATTCATTCACATAGCTGTACAATCGCATTTATATATAATTATTTGTGTGTGTGTACATGAGGTTTGTCAAGTTTAGATAATTGATTAGTTAATACAAGAATGATGTAGTATGGAGACAAAGTTAATCAGACAGCAACTAAAGTAAGATTGAGTTAGTAAGCTAGATGACGTAATATAATTGACTAAAATGTTACAACTTAGGTCAGGATAGCAACAGAGGTAATTACAGGTAGAGATTAAGTAGAAGTGAAATTGAGTAAATAAGTTGGATGACGTAACATAAATGACTAGAAACTGGGCGATGTTCAAGTCAGTAACAGTGTTAGTGAGGTGTAGAAATTAAATCGGGTGGGGGTAGAGAACAAGAAAGTTGAAAATGTAAAATATTACAATTGAGAAGGCAAAATAATACTAATGAAGAGACAGAAGAGAAGATTAGGTAGAATTCACTTGTCGGCTAATAAGATAGATTACGTTCATTGTAAGTGTAGTGATTCAACGAACTTCTTCTGTATGCAGAGTTCAGGACTTAGCAAGTGAATCGCCATTGCTTCTGCACTTTGAAGAAGTCTGATTCGTACACCTTTAGGTCTCTATTTAAGTGACAGTCCATGGGATTCATTGGAAATGATCCTTCTGCAAGTTGTACTGCCACTCTTATTAGATGTTCAAGCGAAAGCCAGTCTCCGTCAGTTATTACGTTGGTGGTGTGTAAGCGTGGCCTGGTTATTGGGTTTGCGTAGTTACTTATTGGGAGATGTGCCTTTTTCACCTGGGGTTAGTCGAAAAAAATATTTAACAGTGCATTATAATTTGTGTGTATTTGCTTCGTAAATTTAAAATTTCACATTGACAAGCTAAGTTCCTGCTTAGAAACTGCACATATACCGATAGCTTTAATTCGAAATAAGTAATTTAGGTTGACATTTCCGCACCTTCGCTCATCTAACCAACTGCGAACACCTCCAATTGAAATGAGGCTATGGGGATACTACAAATAAGGCAATAATCTTGATATTAAATAAAGTGATATATATACATCCTTTATATTCTTCATCTAGGACTTTATTGTAACTGAAAATGGCAGAGAAGTACCTTTCAAACCTGGACAGTATCCACGGAATGAAGCCCAGACGTCAAGTAATCGTGCCAATGAAGAATTAAATCCTGTACATTCATCGCAAACAACATCAAATAACGAAGCTCGTAATCTTCAAGCAGAATTATATACTGTAGTTTCATCATCCAATGAAGGAAATTCGTCTGCTAATAATCCCTCCCATGAACATGTACAACCTGAAGTCGATGCGCAAGATGATGGTTATACAGACGAGGAAGATTTTACACGTTATGTACCCTACAAAAAAGCCAGTTGCCTGAAACTGAGAATTTTCAGCCTAATTATTTTATCGCTCATTAGTCTGATGTCCTTAAGTCTAGCTTGACTGATTGTACCTGTCGGCGTTGGACGATTCCTGTTGAATTTTAAAGAAAAAGATTCTACGTCAAAGCATGATGCGATTGCTTTAGTTGGCGGCTTTACTGTTCTGGGACTGATGCTTCGCTTGGCTCCTTGGTAAGTTCATTTCGCTACTACCGTATTTACACTTCTGATAATTATTCAGTGTTAGTACTTAAATGGCTTGGCAACAAGTGTAGCTATATACTACTGCAGAGCTTGACTCGTGCTGTGTATATAAAAATAAGCCGTTGAAAGGTGAATAATAAGTATAGACAACGTTATTAAAATTATTTGAAATTAATTTGTTGAAAAACAGCTATATAAAAGCATATTACTAGCACAAATCATAAGATTGATATCATATCGGCTCTCATAAGTCCATACAAAACCGTCAATGGTGCATACCAAAATATGCTGAGTTGATAGCCATGATTCAAATTAAGCCCTCGTTGTGTATGCGAAAAAAAATTAACTGTTGCACTTAGCTAGTCTTGATAATCATTATCTGATTATATTGTTAAACAATGTTAATCACTCTCCTCCCACCATTTTGTTTATATAACTTTCAATTGTCGTATTAACTGAGTAGACAAGCCAATGTGTAACCACACTGTTCAAAACGTACTGCGCAAATACATCACATCTGATGTTGATTATTTGATATCTAATCGCTGATATAACAGTAGAGTCCAGTCGTTGTTGTAGAGTAACGTTTCACTGAGCTTATGAATTCAGCAACCATATTACCACAACTAATACTATTATTATGTTTTCTTACAGTTACAAAATGTCTTTTATTTTAATGTTTGCAGCATACCTATCGCTTTCACTGGGTTATGGCATATCATTACTTTACTTGGACAATGTAGTAATCTTACTTCCTGGTCAAGGCCATTGCGTGTATTTAGGATTTGGACTCCTTTGCGTACGACTTGTGAAATTACCATACGAAGACCTGCAGTGCCAATGGCTGGTCTTAATCGGCGTTGTGGATTTAGATTTTTCACCGACACAAATATCGGAGTATGTGCTCAAAATTGTTTTCACGCTTCACTGAATTGGTTACGGCTCTCACTTGTCACGGCTGTACTACTTGGCATCCTGCCAACAGCCTTAGGACTATTGGTTAATTTTATCTTCATTGTGCCTTTCCCCGTTGTAGCTAGAATATCTATTGTCATTGGATTCTGGGAGGTACGCTTTTCATATAGTTCTTAACAATGCTTTATGTGTGCGCTGGTGGTTCGTTCAGTGATGCACGTGGTCCTGGGTTGGGTCCCCGACCGACGTACTCCTTAACCTCGCTTAGCCAGCAATGAAGGAATTTAGGCTTGTGCCTATCCGCTCCGCTGCGTAAAGAAACAAGCACTACTGCAACTGGATCTTCAAACCTCAAGCTTGAAACCCTATGTCCCACTCGGAACGCAAAGGAATAAAATAATGCTGTAATGTAGATTCCTATGTTTTAGTGTTACTTGTGCTAATATATATTCTATATTTCATTGCAAAACATTTAGCGAGACTACATGATAAATGATGTATGTTTCCAGGTCTAAGTGATCAAGTTCTGTGAAATCCTTAATCCTCGATAAGGTTAACTGTACATTTTGTGCATAGACACACCAACTTTGCGAATTTCAACATGTTTTTTTCCAAAGATTGTCTTTTCACATACCTCTACACTGATAAACATAGGTCTTGAAATGTTGAAACATATATTCACTTCACAAACGCTTTCCTCTCACATATGCTAAAAATTAGATGTTAAGAAAGCACTTTTACCTTTAGAAGGAAATAGATCCGACATTAACAGATTCATTCATCTGTATACCACATGATAGTGATATTTGCAGTTCAGTTTTTCAAATTTCATTAATTCAAGGCGTCAGTGTTCTTAGCGAATTAAAATTAGAACTGCCAATGACCGGCAAAATTTTGAGCATTACAATTATTTAAGACTTTATATTATAATATAAATTAGTCGGTTACTGAATTACGTGCGTTTTCTGGTCTAGTCAAACAACCTTTTAAGACTCATAAAATCGATCAAATAGGAATTATATTGCTCGTTTTCACATTGTCTGAATGCAAATATGTCATCTCCTTCAGTAGTGAAATATGTCTGTGAACTGTTCGATTTTCGAGATGTCACCAAGTCAGGTTCAGGATAGAATTTCAAAGGCTGAATGACATCAAACAATTCTCATCGGCATTCTAAGCTTCAAGTATTCTTTATTGCAGTATGACGCACTATATACTACAATACCTAAGTTGATGTTTGTCTTTTCTTTGTTTTTAGCATTGGATGTTCGGTACGATGCTCTTGAAAGTCTATTTTACTTATTCTAACTGGACCTCCTTGGTGGTTGCGCAATCGTTTAGAGATCTTCCACGATGAAATCTTACATCATCGACAAGATGCTCGTGCTACTCTGGGCAATTGCACCATTGTTCGTAGCTATTGCCTTATCTTTAAGTGTACCTTATTTGCTAGCGCATTATATTAGCCCGACCGAAAGCTCCTACCTTGACGTGGTGGTCGGGCTTGAACACCGCAATGACCCAACAAAAGCTATACTGGCTGGAACTTATGTTCCTGCAGGTCCTGCAGGAAGGTTGTTTGGATAGCGGTTAGACTAAAAGCAGTTACCCAATCTAACCCTATGACCTCAATCAAATCACAAAATATCATGCCGGATCGGTCGGGGCCCGGATTAACAACGACCGCGCTTTCTGCTGCCGTGTCACAGGGCAGAAGTGATAAATACGCTACTGAGACACACCAAATAAAAAACAACAAACAAAAACAGGCCATGTGTGACCGGCCTCAAGCAGTTGTCCCTTGGGCTCTGCGGTCACGCAACCAACTTCCACGGTGTGGGCAGCCGAGAAGTAACAATCGCCCTCACAACCCGAAGAGCACGCGAAACCTCTCTATTCCTCACTCACCTTTGTCTTCATCTTCATCTCTATTATCTTACCTTCCTTCTACCAATGTAACTCCTCTACTTAATGGCTCCTCACTTCCTCTTCACTCTGTGTGCACTGAAAACGACGGAAGCCAAAAAGCCACCATCTATAGTCTCCTAAAGCCACGTCACCAATTTCATATAGGGGCATTTAATGTTAGGACACTTTGCCAAATAGGACAACAGGCATCACTAGCCAAAACTCTGGCATCCCGAGCCATTGATGTATGTTGTGTTTCAGAAACACGCATACAAGACCCAAGTGTGGTTATTCACCTAACCCCACCTGGCCAACAGGATGAATCTGCAAAATTCACCTTGAGGGTGTCAGGAGATGAGACGGCTAGCTCACGAGGATTAGCTGGTGTTGGGATAGCTCTGAGTACTAGGGCAGAAAAGACCTTACTTGACTGGATCCCGGTAGATAGCCGAATGTGTGCTGTCCGTCTGAACGGATCAGTGAAAAGGAGAAAGGACTGCACTACTCGCCGATGCCTTTTCGTAATCTCCGCCTACGCCCCCACTGACTGCAGTTCGGATGAAACGAAGGATGAGTTCTATCAAAAGCTGTCTAGTTTGCTGCGAAAGGCTAAACGCTCAGATATAGTCGTTTTAGCTGGTGACTTTAATGCTCAAGTGGAGAAATTGTGTCAATCTGAGAAGAATGTCGGTGGCACATACGGAATTCCGTGCCAGCGAACCGACAACGGTGACCGTCCTACAGTTCTGTTCAGTTAATCACTTGTTTCTTGTAAGCACTAACTTCAAACACAAGGAGAGACACTCTTTGACCTGCCGACCTCCATCATCAAACCAACACTGGACACAAATAGACCACATAGCAATAAGCTATCGTTGGCGTGGGTCGGTAGGAGATTGTCACTCCTTCTGGAACACGTGTGTAGATAACGATCACGCACTGGTCCGCGCTCGTGTATGCTTACGACTGAACGGATATAGGAAACAGCTGGCGGTAAAACCATCACGTCCCCAGCTCGATCAGGAAACTAAGTCCCTATTTGAGGAAGAACTAGCTAAACACATATCTGAGTTCGACAGCTGCGCTCACCCTGAAGAAGCCTGGAAGAATATTTAATCAGCCATAGATACAGCTGTAAAAGCTGTGAATAAGGTAAATCCAAAGGTGAGTAAAAACCATTGGATTCCGACTGCCTCATCCGAACTGATAGATGCTAGAAGACTTATTCCTGCGAGCTCCGAATTCAATGAGGAGCGAAAGCTGCACAAAAGGAAACTTACGAAAAGTCTCCGCAAGGACCGTGAACAGTGGTGGTTGACAAAGGCGAAAGAGATGGAAAAAGCATCGGCGATAGGCAACACTAGGCAACTCTTTAGACTCATCAGGGAAACGGGTGGGAGAAGGCAAATCATAAGTGAGACTATTTCTGAGAAAAATGGCTCCTTAATTAGCTCTCAGGATAGACGCCTCGAACGCTGGAAAGAACACTTCGAGGAACAGTTTAACTTGCCTACAGCCACACTGAGCCTCCCCACCATCCAGCACACACCCGAATGGGATATAGACACTGGCCCGCCGTCTGTAAGTGAGGTCACCAAGGCTATCTGTAATTTGAAACGAGGCAAAGCGGCAGGACCCGACGGAATTATTCCGGAGGTGTTTAAATATGGGGGGGTGACATATCAGTATATAGTTTAACTAAGGTACTAGGTAACGTCTGGGAATCAGAGACGGTTCCATCAGACTGGGGTAAGTCACTTATTATACCGATTTTCAAGAAGGGAGACAAGTCCTCATGTGATAATCATAGAGGAATCAGCCTAACGAACATAGTATCTAAAATCCTAGGCTCAGTAATCATCACACACAGACTAAGCCGAACTCGGGAGGAACAAACGAGGGAAAATCAAGCGGGCTTTAGGCCAGGTAGAGGGTGCATAGATCATATCTTCACTCTCCGACTTATCCTAGAACATAGACACACTTTTAGGCGTCCAACAATTGCCATATTTCTTGACTTGAAGGCGGCCTTCGACTCCGTGGATCGAGAGGTACTATGGCAATGTTTGACTGTGAAGCGAGTGCCAAGAAAGTACATTGCACTAATCAAGGCACTCTACTCAAACTCACGTAGATGTGTAAGGGCTTATGGGGAATTGTCATCTGAATTGATAACAACCAGTGGTGTCCGTCAAGGATGTCCACTTTCCCCTTTTCTGTTTAACTTCACCATAGATATGCTAATGGAAGTATCCTTAACTGAACTTAACGACTTACGAATCGACTTGTTACCAGGGAATAGTCTTATAGACTTAGAATACGCAGACGACATAGTCCTGTTAGGGGAGGACGCTGACAAAATGCAGAGTCTTCTGAACACATTGAGCAGCAGTCTTCGTATGTTTGGCATGCGATTCGCCCCTGTGAAATGTAAGATGCTGCTACAGGACTGGACTACGTCAACTCCTAGCTTAGTGATAGGGAGTGAAGTGATAGAACATGTTGACCACTTCACCTATTTGGGAAGTTGTATCAGCACCAACGGATTGATTGGTGACGAAATCACAGCACGGATCCAGAAAGCTCGGGCTGTTTTCGCTAACTTACACCGTCTCTGGCGTAGGCGTGACACCCGACTGCCAACCAAGGGACGTGTATACTGTTCAACAGTTCGCTCCGTCCTTCTCTATGGCGGTGAGACGTGGCCATTGAGAGCGGAAGACATGAAGAGATTGTCTGTTTTTGACCACAGATGTTTACGATCTCTTTCTCGCGTTAGGTGGTATAATAAGGTAAGTAATGTTGACGTTAGGCATACAGTGTTGGGTAAAGAGGGAAAATCACTCGAAGAGGCTATGAAGTTACATAGATTGAGATGGTTAGGTCACGTGCTGCGCATGCCTAACCATCGTCTCCCCCGACGGGCATTACTAGCTGATATAGGTGCAGGTTGGAAAAGAGTAAGTGGTGGCCAAACAAAAACATGGCACCAATCCATGAAATCCCTGACAGTTAAACTGAGTCAGGTAGGGAGATGCAGACTTCCGGGTTGGGACTCTAAGAATCAATGGCTGGAGACAATAGGTGACGGCTCAAAATCGTTGTCAATGGCGCAGATGTATTCAGTCTCTTTAACCTTCATATTCCTTTCTACCATTACTCACTCTGTTTCACTCTTATACTTATCTAAATTCTATTGATTCTCTTCTCTCATTATCCTGTCTACCTTTGTGTGCTATTTGGAACGTGGCAACTCGAACTGCTGCACTTCGGTGCCAAGTTCTATGTTGAATCCAGCAGCAGCAGCATTAGTCCACTATTTGGTTAGACTTTTACATTTGAAAAGAGTTTTACCAGTAACATGATTTTTTTGACAAATTACGTGAAAAATTAATGATAAGTGCCAAGTCAGCGAAAACAAACAGGCAGACATTGGGCTGGACTGTTTTACATTGTGAAATGAAATTCAGTAGCACGTGCCCACAAGTCACTATCTACCAGTAGCCAATAAGCTCTAGACTCTTACTTCATCTGTGTAGTTCTCCGACGTTTATAATTGTCGTCTAACTAATATAAGTTGTTGATGAAATCTCCCTTGTAGTATGTGTACAAATTAGTCTCTTAAACCTTTCAGTTTAGAACCAAGTGAGAATTTTGTTTTAGTTAAACTGCAGCAATGAAATACCTCACGCATTTTAAATGCAACAGCTTTGTAAATACTCTCAAATAAATATGGTGTAATTCGGCGTTTTGGCAGTTCATGTTCATCTCTCTGAATGTGCAAAGAAATAACCACTCTTGGTTTTTAATGCTCACACTAGACCTCACGAAATATGGATGATTTAAAGAAAGATTTCCAGTTCAAGTGAAAATACTTTCTTATCCTTTAACCCATGAATGTAATAGGGAATTTATGCCTACTTGCTGAAAACTATCATTTAAAAAGAAATCTCACCGTACAAGATCGGTTAAATGCTAAAGTAATACAAAATTAACCTGGGTAATGCCTCCAGTAACCGTAGTTATGTGGGAAAACATGCAACAGTAAATTTAAACGCATTTTTCGCCGAAAAAAAACTCAGTGGACACACCTTAAATCTATCGTTATACACAATTTCCAACTGCAACTGTCAGAGGAGTATGAGAATATATAACAAGACTGGACATCCAACTTATATATATATATATATAGGCGAGCTGAACGACTTGCTTATCTCAATGGAATCATACCCTTCGTCTTAGGTAAGTCATGCAGTGCATTTTAGCAATGGGACTTCAGAGGCAAAGCCAATCATTCACTTTTCATAATTTAAAAGAAGTTATGTCATGCATAAGTACACTTTGCACAATGAGTAATACACTGCGTCTATTTCTTTTCAACCATAACATTACATAGAAAAGTCGCCTTCCGCTATGTGTACCCATCTCTTTTCGTCTTGGCTGTGCTTGTTTTCTTATGTGCTTTGTGCATCGACCAGATACGACGTCTCTACACACATATTAAAGATAAAAAGTAAGTGCTTCATGATTTTTCAATGATTGTTTAATGTCCACATTTTTAAATATGTGTAACAAATTTGATTTCTCAACTGAATAGTACAATAGCCTCTAATATTTACTGTTAGAACACTGTGAGCAACAAGAAATGCGCCACACAATATCTTATCGTGATTCTGCGAGGTCTGGGATACCGCCCAGATGCTGGTTGTCTTAATGGGCCACTTCCAGAGCCTTTTACTTGAAGTCTGATTCACACGACAGTAGAACAGTCAAGAGTTAGTTCCCATGTTTGCCGGATTCTGATGCCCATGTACACCATACGTTTGGAATCAGGGTTTCTCAGCTCGCCTAGGTAGACCAACACTTCCACCGATCCCGTTGTAAGCGCCAGACGTTGGCGTTCGCCCTTTCACTTTTGTGAATGTCTATCTGAATTTTAAACGTTAGGAGGTTTTTTTGCCTATATTGTTTATCAAAGATTGTAACTTTAGAGGATACATCATCAAAATTTTGTTTCTTATTAATTTCAGATATTTAGTTGGGAGACAACTAGTGAATTTTCGTCCACCATCATCAAGTCAGTCTTTGGTCCCAGCATCGTCAATCAGAAGTGATTAAGATGTATGTTTGCTATACAGAAAGATATCTGTAATCAACATCTTCAATACTTTTTCCACTTACTCAGATGATAACAGAGTTCTCAAATAAAATGTTTATGTGCAAACTAAAAAGTGGTCTCATCAGTCATTTTCTCATAGTCCAACTTAACTGCATAACCGCTGAGAAATTCTTTACAGCACTGAAAGAAATTCACACACACTATTTGCACAGATGATAAGAACGCATACAACACACGTACAGTTTACACAAAAATTCTGTATTTGAAACTCAAACTTATGTAAATTGTTTTCACACTATTATTACTTGGTCCCGTTCTTGTGTAATTCCATTGACAAATCTGTCTTCTCAATTTTCACTTTAAAACGCTGAAAGAGAAAGAATAAGCCGTGAACGAAATCAACGATTGATTCAGGAAGGAAGATTCATACTTATCATAATGAGATTGGGGGGGGGGTTAGAAATGAGACCAGTTCTGTTTGAATAAATACCGCTTGTCAAGACTGTCACTAGTATGAGTAAGCAATATCTCTAATTGTCTTTTAGTGCACGCAGTGACACTCTTTTAAACCTTAACAAAGCATTGGTATATCTTGAATATACCGACTCTACATTTCCACGAACAGGGGCTTTGCACTACATACAAAAGCACCAAAGTCGTAGCAGCTGATTAAAATTTAGGTTCTCAAGGAAGACCCTTGTATTTCCAGGTGTATTGGTTATGAGGAAAACTGTGGAGGTTTGCCTCATTGGCGTAAGTCAATGGGTACCGGGTACGAATATCGCTACAAATGAATAGTTTAATTATATTGAGAAACCTTATTCCTCAGTGAGGTCTCAACTTTCAACTTCAGTCAAACAGTTAGTTAACAGCTCTCATATAAAATGTCACTGCTTACAGTATTTACAAATGCATTGACATTGTCATCCTCTCCTTCATCCCTTATACGAACGAAGTGCGTTCCAGGACACCATTGCACGTACCGATTCGACTAACATGAAAGCAATCAAAAAAGTACAATGTTCAAACCAAACCGCCAGCATAATAACTAATAATAATAATAAGAGGAAAATGACTTCACATGTGATGTATTTATATACAAGAAACTAAACTACGGAAGCTATTTCCGTGATTAAAACTTTGTATGAAGCATAATAGTGCTGTGGTGAAAAACAACAATTTCCCAGCACGGTAACATGCTGCTACTGATCGATCTATTGTATTACCCTTCTGTATCATGAAGTTGATTACTCAGATTTACTTATTCCGTTTGACAGGAAAATATATGCCACCTTTTCAGTTGCGTTTTCTGTTCGACCGCCATACCACCGCCTGATACCAATTTACATTTACAAACTGAAACACTAAATAAAGCAGCAATGTCATTTGCATAAATAAGCTGAAGCAGTGCCGCTTACTTTTTTGAAAACAGTTTAACCTTCGTCCATGCATTCTGTTGAATACAACTTTAAAAATATTTAGCACTTTACATCGAGAAGTCAATAGTTAATTCTTTTGCCTTCTTATAAATAAACAATAATTCTAAAGCTAGAAGTGAACTACCATAGGATCTCTTAGTTTGTGGGCGAACAAAACATCAGACCTATTAGCATTACGACGTTAATTGAAACTTTACTTGCCTACAAAAGCGTCATTCCTGTTGAGCCCCTGGGCGTGTAACATATTCTGACATATAATATTCTGCATGTGTGCGGCAGTCTACAAATATTCATCTTCCTGAATGAGACTGTTCGCAGCAAAACAGTAATTTAGCTTTTTGAGGAAGAGAGGACTAGGAGCGTTAGTAACTCTAACCGTCAGTGCTACTAGGCAGACTCAATTAGTCTACCTATAACACATGATGATATACGCTGAATAGGCCTACGGGACTCGTAATCATATCTAGACTATAGGAAGCTTATGCATAGTGAATTATATTTTTGTGTAACTTGCCAGCACAGGCTTTTTTACTCTAAGACGTGCGTGCTGGTTATGACAGTGACCGGTTGTTCAGGTTGAAGTAATCAAAATGTGAGCTACGTCAGAACGTCGTATGCTCAATCCAACGGACCACGCTTCATACGTAAAGAATTACAAATATCTTTGGTGATATGACAGATAGTCATAGGATAAACGTATAAGAAAGGCATTAAATGTTTTCTGAGTTGGAAAATATGTTTAACAACTTCGTAGGTGGAGTGGAAAACATACCGTCAGTGTAACATTTTTGGTATCTTCCATTTCTTCTATTTTTGTATTAGTAACAGGAACTGTAGATTGCTGACCACTTGTAGTCCTAGTTAGAAAAAAAAATTACAAAGCATCATTATATCATTGGGAACTGTTGCAGTGTTTCGCACAACTGTATAGAAAGACTTGTCAGCAAACATCAAACTAAATGTAATGATTATTGTACAACAGATATCGAAGAATTCCAAAAAGTACCTACAGACAATCGAAGAATTAAACACACCTTATCATAACATTAAAATATTACGGCAGAGATAAACAATTTCCTGCAACCTCATCTCTAAACACTAATATTGACTTAAATCCATTAGTAATTTTTACAATACCGCCATCAAATTAGGTGACCATTTTTGGGAAGGGCCTAAATAATACATGTGACAGTTGTTAGTAATCAGTTGAGTCAAAAATATTAGCCACTGTTGTACTCCGCAGGCTTTGCGAAACATTGATTCCGAAGACAGGCTTAGTTTTATTCAGGTCGTGGACAAATCAGTCACTTTTCGTCAGTTGTTAGAACACCGCCATATGTATTACAGTTTAACAAATATTTGTTTTTGACATCACGGCTGTCTTCAACTCACTGGATAGAACTATTCTTTCACAACTGTCTCCTCGATAGAATCGTCCCTGAGCTTTTTAACATCCTCAAAGTTCTATACAAAATACCAAAGGCATACAAATACTTGAATATGAAGAAAATAGCCTTACTATGTGACAACATAGAGGCCACTGGTCAGTTGATGGCCGTCGTTCCTAAGTATATGGTGCTTTGGCACCGTCCAAGCGTAGAGTACTGTTACTGGATTGGCAGCAGCCTGTGCGGCTTTTTATTTAAAGTACAATATGGGCATCGGAAAATGCGCCGAACAATAATATATAAGGAAAATAACGAGAGAATGAATGAGGAACATCATCGAAAAAGCAAGCATGCATATTTGTCGAGGTCATTCAGCACTCATTACTTCACTGTACTTTCAGAAAGGTAAGAAAAAAGGAAATTGCAGCATGTTCGCTATTGATTGCGATCTTTGGTCATATCTGATAACGTTTCGAACTATGAAGGTGTGACGTTCCAAGCGACTAACTTAACACAAATGTCCTTCATCCGACGACGCCATTTCATAGGCTGACCACCTCCCCTCTTTTCCATTCAGTCCCAGGGCTAGAGTACGGAGGCCTCTTGAGAGACTTTTGTAGCACACTTCCAAGCCGATGTTTGCAGATGACGACACTCAGTGAATAGTAATCGCCACCGTAACCAAACATTCGCTGCCAGACCTCAGAATTACTCACACGATGATCGGATGCAAACGATTCTATGGAGACAGCGATGATCGAATCGCAGAGTCATCGCACATCCTCAGCTCGCAGAGGCCACGTTTCACAGCCGTACAACAAGACTGTGTGCACCAAAGCCTTGTAAACCTGACCCTTGCCGGCGCCAGAGGTGTCTCAAATTGGCGTATGCCAACCCAGATAACACCATACGTCCAGAGATCTTTTCCGTTAGGCCTTCGCCAGCACTCACACAACTGAGCAGATACACGAAGTTGTCGGCAACTTAAAGCGATTCACCTGCACAAGAGTCAGTGTAGGTACATGGTCTTGCCAATCTTGCAAAAGTGCTTTGCACTTGGACGGCGCAAAGCACATACCATTACTTACAGACGTTAATTAAGGCAGCCTGCATGTTATCGCACAGTGAATCAATATCGTCTGCATACTAAAGGTCTTTCTCGATCACCACGCACGCCTGCTGTTTACAAATCAGTTCCTTATGGGACTTCATAAAGATAGGTACGATGGTGACTTCACTCCATTCATTCTCATTTTCCCATAATTTCCTGAATCTCGCCGTCATTAAAAAGGGCCGGAAGCAGATCGTTTGAGACGTATGCCTCGTAGCATTTAAACACTTAGAGGTCGTTTCGGACTTTCGCTTTGACTGGTGGGTCAGTATTGACCGAACACAGAGCTCCCGACAGATAGCTGCTACATTGACGTGGTGGTAAGGCTTGCACATCGCAATGACTCAACAAGCTACACTGGCTGGAACTATTCTTCCGGCAGGTCCTACCATGCCAGGAAGGTTGTTAGGATAGCGAATAGACTAAAAGCAGTTACCGGCATAGTGTAAGAATTTTTTTACACGATGCTGGGGGTCTGTGGGCGAAGTCGTACTTCTGGGGAACAGGGATGTAACAGCAGTGAGGTGTTTTCCTCAGATGACCAGCATGCCAGCTATACTCTCTCCCCACCTCGGAGAGAAGCCGTTAGATAAGGTCGACCCCAAAAATTGTACATCCGACTTACCCTACAGTGGCCTGTAACCGGCGGTAAGTTTACCAATACGGAATCAATCAAAGAAACCAGATCATACACGCCGTGTGTGACTGGCCTCAAGCAGTTGTCCCCTGAGCTCTGCGGTCACACAACACTCTGTTTCAGGTTCCCGAAAAATGAATCAACTTCCACGGTATGGACAGCCGGGAAGTAACAATCGCCCACACACTTCAAAAAGCACACGAAGCCTTCCTGAGCATCAATATTCTTTACTCACATCACCTTCCTCATCTTGCTTCTCTACTACAGTTAGCACTATTCTGCAGGCTAGTGAGTCATCTTCACTCCACTCTGTGTCCACAAACAAAGGTAAGAGCCATAGAAACACCCCAGATAGCCTTTTAAAGCCACGTCGCCAACTTCATATAGGAGCTTTTAACGTCAGGACCCTCTGTCAAATCGGACAACAGGCATCACTAGCAAGAACTCTGGAATCTCGAGTCATGGATGTATGTTGTCTTTCAGAGACACGCATACAAGACCCGAAAGTGAAATTTCACTTGACCTCACCCTGTCAACAAGGTGAATCTACAAAATTCACTTCAAGGGTGTCAGGAGACTCTTCAGCTAGCTCGCTAGGACTCGCAGGTGTAGAGAGGACAGAAAATTCACTTCTTGACTGGATCCCAGTAGATAGTCATATGTATGCAGTCCGTTTGAATAGGTCCGTTAGAAGAAGGAAGGACGGTGTTACCCATCGTTGTCTTTTCATAGTCTTCGCTTACGCCCCAACTGGCTGCAGTTCGGATGGACTAAGGGATATTTTCTACCTGAAACTGTCTAGTTTCCTGCTAAAAGTAAAACGCTCAGATACAGTTGTTTCAGCAGGCGACTTCAATGCCCAAGTAGGGAAGTTGTGCCAGACTGAGAAGTATGTAGGTGGTAAGTATGGAGTTCCCTGCCGACGAACCAACAACGCTGATCGTCTTCTTCAACTTTGCTCAGATAATCATCTGTTCCTAGTCAGCACTAACTTTAAGAAGAAAGAGACATTGTGTAACCTGGCGACCTTCATCACCAAATCAACGCTGGACTCAGATAGACCACATAGCGATAGGGTATCGTTGGCGAGGGTCAGTAGGAGACTGTCGCTCCTTCTGGAACACGTGCGTAGACTCTGATCACGCTCTGGTTCGCGCACGCTTATGCTTACGACTAAATGGACATAAGAAATTGACGGCAGCGAAACAGTTACGTCCCCAACTAAATCGAGACACTGAGTCCCTATTTAAGGAGGAAATAGCGAAACGTGTATCTGAGGTCGGCAGCAGGACTTCCCCTGGGGTAGACTGGCACAACACATAGCTGTAAAAGCCGTCAATAACCTAAAACCAAAAGTTAGTAAGAGCCATTGGATCTCCACCACCACATCCGAACTGATTGACGCAAGAAGACTGATTCCGGCGAGCTCTGATTATGATGAGGAGCGAAAGCTACTAAAACGAAAACTGACAAGAAGCCTTCGTACGAACGTGAACAGCGGTGGGCAATAAAAGCGAAAGAGATGGAAAAGGCATCGACGACAGGCAACACCAGACAACTACTTAGGCTTATCAGGAAAAAAGGTATTAACAGGCAAACGATTAGTGAAGCAATCTCTGAGAGAAATGGCACCATAATTAGCACCCAGGATAGACGACTAAACGTTGGAAAGAACACTTTGGGGAGCGATTTAATTGGCCTACAGCCACACTCAACTTACCAAAAATCCAACATCTCCCTGAATGGGATATAAACACAGGTCCACCTTCCTTTACTGAGGTTACTAAAGCTGTCACTAATCCGAAACAAGGCAAAGCAGCGGGACCTGATGGAATCACTCCAGAGGTATTTAAGTACGCTGGAGACAGTTTACTGTCTGCGTTAACTAAGGTACTAGGCAGCGTCTGGGAAATCAGAAGTCCCGTCGGGTTGGTGTAAGTCACTGATCATCCTGATATACAAGAAGGGAGACAAGTCTTCCTGTGATAATCACAGGGGGATTAGATGGACCAACACGGTATCTAAAGTTCTAGGCTCAATAATCATGCGTATACTAAGCGATGCTCGGGAGGCACAAACACGAGAGAACCAGGAACAGGGTGTATTGATCATATCTTCACCCTTCGACAAATTGTGGAACACAGACATACTCACAGGCATCCAACAATTGCCATATATTTTGTCCTGAAGGCGGCATTCCATTCCATCGACCAAGAGGTACTCTGGTGATGCTTGGCTTTGAAGGCAATGCCCAGAAAATACATTGCACTGATCAAGGCACTCTACTCGTACTCATGCAGCCAGGTGAGGGCTTACGGCGGGTTGTCATCTGAAGTGGTGACGACTAGTGGCGTCCGTCAAGGATGTCCATTATCCCCATTTCTCTTTAATTTCATCATAGATGTACTACAAATGCACTTAATCCTAACTCACTTCAGAGACTCAGGCATTGACTTGCTACCAGGGAATGTTTGACATGCGGTTCGCTTCCGCCAAATGCAAGATGATGTTACAGGATTGGACTACACCGACTCCTAGATTAGAAATAGGAAGTGAAGTGGTGGATCACGTTGACCACTCCACTTATTTGGGAAGTACCATCAGCGTGCACTAACGGGTTAATCGCTGACGAAATCTCAGCACGGATACAGAAAGCTAGTTTCGCATATTCCAGTTTACGCCATCTCTGGCGTAGACGTGATATCCAGCTGGCTATCGGCTAAAGGGCGGGTGTACTGCTCATCAGTCCGCTCTGTCCTCCTTTATGGCTGTGAGACCTGGCCATTGAGAGTGGAAGACATGAAAAGATTAGCTGTCTTTGATCATAGGTGTCTGCGTTCTATCTCCCATGTGAAGTGGCATAATAAGGTGAGCAATATTGAGGTTAGGCGTCGAGTGCTAGGCAAGGAGGGGAAATCAATTGACGAGGCTGTGAAATTACATCGACTGAGATGGTTAGGACATGTGTTACGCATGCATAGCAATATTAGCTGATATAGGGTCAGGCTGGTAAAGAGCTAGCAGCGGTCAAACCAAAACATGGCACCAGTCAATGAAATCTACAACAGTTAGTCTAGGCCACGTAGGAAGGTGTAGACTTCCTGGTTGGGGTCCTCAGGACGGTAAAAATCAATGGTTGGAAACAGTTGGTGACATGGCTCAAAATCGTTTTCAATGGCGCAGATGCATACACTCCTTGTGACTTATGATTTCCTATGAAACTATTTTGTTCTTCGTTATTACTACTCCTTTTCTCTCATATCCCTGTTTACTGTCTCATTTTTTGCATTTCTTCTCTTGCTATGTGTGCTATATGGAGTGTGACGACTTGAACTGCTGCACATCAGTGCAAAGTTCTATGTTGAAAACAGACAGAACACAGAGCTCTGTTGGTGATGTTGGATGCCGGGGCTGTTGATCAGCTAAACTGCTTCCCAAAGTGCTCTCCATAGCGCTCCATGGGTCTTTTCAGGTTGGCAATTAGCGAACCATCTGCCTCACATATCGTCGCCAATCTTGCCGCCAGTGGTTTGGATGAGCTAGACAGCTTCTGTATACTTGCCAGATACAGCTGCTGATTATATCTCATACGCACGTTCTCACCACCAGACTTTGCGATCCTTATGTAAACACTGAAGGATTAACTCGCCATTTGCATAACGTCTTGCAAATATAGCTAATGTTCTGTATACAAACTTACTCTCAGACGGTAACCACTAGAGGTAGTCGAGAAGTTCAAGTATCTAGGCAGTTGCGTAAGTGTTGGTGGAGGCGTGACGAGTGAAATTCCCAGTCAAATAGCGAAAACCAAAGCTGTATTGGTAAAACTAAGCCACCTCTGTCCATATCGCGACGTTGGTGTTGCCGTCGAAGGTCTGCTTTGCATGACTTTAGTTCACACAACCTTGTCTTACTCCTGAGGAAACTGGCCTCTCCGCGCTCAAGATGTGTCCGGTCATCACTGTCGACACTACCTAAGTAATTTTGAGGTCCGGCAGCATGTATCTGAGCGTGATAGAGATCGTCTCCTGACAAGTGATGTTATTTTGTGATACCGGCTACGACTACTTGGACGTGTTCCTCGAAGATCATACCAGAGGCTCCTATACTGTTCGTTATTTGCCGGTTCCAGAACTACGTGGAAAAAAAGTAGAGAAGTAGTCGGCCCATATCATAGCACAGTGAGATGAAGGGTAGTTCAGTTGGGTTCGCATCTGCTGGTGCAGCACAACTCCTTGGATAGAGTTTGAAAGATCTGTAGACTTGTTGTCTGGAGACATTATCAAATATGACTCGGAATCAAAGTTGAGCGTGAACCTATTGCAACTTCCTTTTTCCTTCTCTTTCGGAAAACAATATAAACTAATGAGTGATGCGCACGGCTGCTGTTAAATATTGTTGTTTTTGTGTGCAGTATTTCTTGATGTTCGTATTCTAATGTTTTGAGTAAAAAAAGGGTATCTCACGTAGGTGACTGAGAACGGTTGTCAGACAGATAACTGATGATAATAAGATTGCAATAAATCTTGGAAACTTAAGAATACCAACCTCTGGAAGGCACTTACAAAATTGGGTTTAAAAAAAAATAACAAACTTTATGAAGCAAAATAAATTAAATAAACAATATGCTAGAGCTGAGAATAACCGTTCTTAAATATTTCTGCACAAAGGGGTACGGCATTATTGAGCAAAAAAGGTCAAGTAACTCTTGATATAAGTAAATCAATTATCTAAGACCAATTTCCATGCATAGTTTGTACAAAGCCTGTTTTTTTAAATGACTCACCCTTCTGTTGTATAGCACTCTTCTGCTACCGACTTAGTCGTAATTGAAAGATTTTCAGTGCAGCACTTCTTTGCCTGATCACTCTCAACAGAGCTTTCCCTTGAACGTTTACGAGGTATAACTTCCAAAGGCGATGGTAATGCTGGGAATAAACGTACTTGTTTTACATTGCACATAGCCCATGTTCGAAAAAAATTCGAAAGTTCTAATCTACTAGAGCACAGCGAACGAAAATCATTCAAGATGGTTTGAAAAGGAGCCAACATCTTTAGTGAAAAGGTAAGTGGGTTTAGTGAAAACGCTGTAACGCGTTTCAGGACAAGGAGCAATATATCATTGGACACGGGTTGGGATATCGTCTCATCGAAGAAATATGTGTCTGGAACCCGCGGTACTGTAGAATGATAAAAAAATATTTCAAATGTGCATATTAGAGCTGATATGCAAGTAAAGTTTATTACAGAATAAGTAGTCTTAGAGCTAATTTAAATATTAAAATTCGACTTCGAGTTTCTACTAGTGGAATTTATTTGAAATGATCACTATCCAAATTTAATCTGACAATAACGAAATTACGGATGTATCGCGTATGCTAGTATGAAAGGAATGATAGAAAAATTAAGCAGTTATTGTTACAATAAGCATGTAGTCGGCAAAAGCGAGAATTGCTTTACTTAAAAAAAACCTGCTTTATCACACAATCAAGTCTTATATACTCCCACAAAGTTCTACTACTAACTGGAATTCAATATGCATAATAAATGTTCTAAACATCTCAATCAATGGAGCTAGACAAACTCATTGACCGACTTTCCTTCCGTACCTAACATTCTAAAAGTAATCTCACTGACTGACAGACCGAATTTCGAAATAGAATTCTGCATAGAAGTGCAGCAGTTCAAGTACCCACACTCCATATAGCACATAAAGGCATGAAAAAAAAAGAGACTCATAACAACTTTAATTAGCAGAAATGTGAAGTTGAAAAAATCGTAACAGAAAAAAATGAGGATCTGGGAGATCCCAAAGGGTCAATTTATCTTCACCAGTGACAATGATTTCGAACCATACCAATTTCCAGCCACTGTTCTCAAAATCTCGAGGACACCAAGAAGAAACTTTCTACACTTCCTTACCTGGCTCAAACTAACTGTCAAGGCTTTCATGGACTAATACCAGGTTTCGGTTTGACCATCCCAAGCTCTTTTCCCACTTAATCCTAAGTCGTCTAACATTGACTGTTGAGGGACGCGATGGCTCGGAACGCGCAACACGTGTACTAACCAACTCAATCAATTCACATTCACAACTTGATTGATTGACTCTCTTTTGTTACCTAATATTGTGTCTAACTTAAATAATACTCACCAAATTATACCACTTGACACAGTCTATAGAACACAAACACATGTGGTCAAAGACAGCAATCCAGTTTATTCATATCTTCCAATGTCTACGTTTCACAGCCACAAAGGAGGACACAACGAACTGCTGAGTAGTACACACTTCAATTCATCGATAGCCAGATATAAGTTAACGAATGCTGCACTAGCCTTTTGTACCCGTGCTGAGATTTTCTCAGCAATCACCCCACTAAGGCTGACGCAACTTCCCAAATAAGTGAAGTGATCAAAACACTACCATTTCCACTCCCTACCTTTAAGCTAACAGTCCGTGTAGTCAAATCCTTCAGTATCACCTTGCCTTCCACAGAAGGGAATCACACGTCAAAACATTCGAAGATTTTTACCCAAGGTGTTCACAAAACCGTGCACTTTTACAGCATCTTCACCTAGTAGGAGAATGTAATGTGCATACTACACCCGACCGAAAGCTGCTACCTTGACGTGGTGGTCGGGCATGAATACCGCATCGTTGACTTCATTATAAAGGTTACCAAGTAAGGCAATGTTTCTCCTCGTGACTGAAGTTAGTAGTAACGAGGAACAGATGATCATCTCAACAGAACTGTAGATGATCACCTTTGGCGGTTCACCGACATGAGACTCCATATATACAACCAATATACTTTTCTGAATGGTACAACTTGCCTGCTTAAACATTGGAGTCACTTACTACGACTATGTCTGACAGCTTTACTTTCAGCAACAAACTAGACAGCTTTTGATTGAACTCATTCTTTACTTCGTCCAGACAGCAGTCTGTTGGGGTACAAGTAAAGATTATGGAAAAACTTGGATGGGTATCACAATCTTTGTTTCCCCAAACGGATCCGTTCACTCGGATAGCCCACATCCACTAGGATCCAATCAACTAGGGATTCTTCTGCTCAATGATATCTCTACATCTGCAAGTCCTTGCGAACTAGTCAAAGAATCTCCTGACATTTTGTAGAACCACTCCTAGCCAAATACTTACACTGTTTCTGCAGTTCTACGAAATAGTTTATACTTATAATAAAATGAAAGATTATTAAAGTAAAATTATCGGAAGTTAAACAAATAGATGAGTGATCTATTTCATCGTATTTGGTTGGGTATAACCGCTTATGATTTCATCAGATGTCAGAATGTTTCTTTTAAGTTTCCAATCCAGTAAAAATGAATAGCACTTATGCAATTATGTGTAACAGTTGAGTTTGAAAAAGCATGAGCCCGAACTTGAGCACAACTACCAAAAAACGTTTCCGAATCTTGAGTTCTCAGGTGAATTTAGAGCATATTTCATTGGAATGTCAACTTGTTTGCGCTTCCTCCATGAGTTTCTGAAAGACCTTTAGTCTAAATAGGCTATAAGCTTTGTAAGAATTCGTACATGGAATTCATTTTCAGTCCAGTTAGTATTAACATGAATTTAAAAATAAAATGCCCTGTTGTAATCAACTAACTGTAGCATATATTCTTCGGTATCTTCAATTTAATGCTAAACAAAACTACTTACTATCCCAAATTTCTGCGAACTTATCAACCAAGTATTTCACCATTGGAGGATATCCTAAAATCGTGTCAGGATGTTTCACTTGACATAGTAGACGTAAGGGAGTAAGAGGATGGGTACCAAAATCTCTTTGAAGGGTTATTTCATCGCGTATACTAGGAAATGAACTGGCATGTATAGCACCAACAAGGGCCATATATACACCAATTTTCTGTTTAACCATGTTTGTAGCATTTGTAATTTGTTCCCTCATTCGGGTACGAACAGGATCTCTCGCAGAATTACAATCGTCCTTTCCATTATCAGGGTCGGAGGCTATGTTGACAATAGAAGTTAAACTATGGAGAGAGAAAAGTGAAAAAGCGTAAAATAAGAGAAACGGGTCAATATATATAGATAGATATATATTACTAATATTACATTTGAGACTAGATATCTAATCGCAAAAGGGTTTTTTAATGTGAAGTTGGGAAGTACCAATTGAAGAAAATATGCTCAGTATGTATAAAAAGATACATCAGAACATAGAACAGGTATTGAGACTTTATTTCATAGAGAAAATCAACGGACAAGCGGGAATGCATAGTTTTTCAATACAGTGGAAGAATTACAGACCACTGGGAATTGAAACGCCTCATCTTCCTAGTTGACAATCTTCCATTGCTTCCACTTATCGACTTGCAAACAATCCAAAATCTTTAAAACATAATTTAGGCAACAGGTTTATGTTCATAAGAAATTTTTGGCACATGGAAAGAAAAATGGGTAACCTTGGAAATAACGAAGCCATTAGTTTATAAACGCCACTCTGGAATATACAGTGTAAATAATAAAATTTAATAACTGATAGCACTACACAAAAGTATCGAAACAGATGAACGTAAATGACTGAAACGAGCGAATAATAAACTCTGAGTAACATACCAAGTTAGAAAGTCCAGGATGGCGGCAGAGGACAAATCAGATAGATTTGGTAAAGGTCGTCCACCTACCAGTGCCATCATGAAGCGATACAATTGTCCATAAGGTACGTATGAGGGGTTTGGATTTTTCTTATGCACTGCACGGTAATCTAATTCTTCCCGTCTGTAAAGCTTTTCTAAAACCTAAAACAAATTATCCGATACTTAAAGTGAAAATTATACATATATAGCCATTAGTAATTCATACAATAATTACTAACGGTGCATATGATACTAAGACATTCTGTTAAAAAATTCAGTTGGACGCATCCATCAACATATATGACAAAAAGCCTTCATTCACTAGCTCCGGAAAATTAGGAGCAGGTCGACTTTCATTATATCATTCGGAAGAAACTAACTTCATCAGCCCAACAGTATTCGTACCTTATACTCCAATACGCAAGTGTCGTACACAATACTTACTCAAGAGTGCACGAGACCATACATAAATTTGAATGGTCAGCCTATCTTAGCAATTAAAAGATGGAAAAATGACTCTGAATGGTGAGTTATTCACAAAGTGGACAAAAATATAAAAAAGTTGTGTGCCCGACTTCTCTGTACTGCATAAGCCCCCGCCATATACATGGACAAGCCGGTGGTGTCTTCAAAAGAAGTTAGTCCAACCTCTACGGTGGAATTAGTTCTGTTCGGCTCCTTATTATAATATTATTATTCCCTTGAGTTCCAAGCGGAAAATAGGGCTTCAACAACACATCTCCACTTTGTCCTATCTTCTGCCGTCCTCTCCAGCTGGGTCCACGATTGTCCATAATCTCTAACCTCCACCTCACAATAACTCATCCATGTCACCCTCGCACCGACTATCCACTTGTCGCTTCCCACTGGGATGCCACTCGAGCGATAGCCTGGTGTGCGATGTCATTCGACGGCCTCCTCAATAAATGCCCGATCCATCTCCATTTCCGCCTGCATATTTGTTGAGCGATCGGCTCATCGTTGATTTGTTCTCAGCCTGAGTTTCTCGTTACTAACTCTTTCTGGCTGGCCATTTCATATTCATTATGGAGCCAGGGTAGGCAGCTGTTGATAAAAGTCTGCAGTTGGCTGTTGGAAATCCTTTTCGTCACTGACACGCAGTGCAAGTTTCTGAACCGTATAGAAAGACCGCCTTCACATTGATGCTGAAAATGAGAATCTTGTCCCTTATGCTGAATACAGGAAATTTTAAACTGATTTCAGGTTGATGAAGGAGTGTGTATCTTGCTTTTCCGATTCTGACCAGTTTTGACATCTTCGTGCTTTCTGACTGCCTGTAGTTGAAACCATGCTTCCCAGATAAGTGAAGGCAAGAAGTAACCTCTGTTAAATCTCTCCTGTTGATGATGATTGGTGCTGGTTGTTGTCGTTGTTACTGTTCGTTGGATATCTTTGTCACCTGCGTCTTCTCTATGTTCACCTGGAGTCCTGTCTTCTCTACCTGCCTCTTATGCCAGTTTTTTAGTTTTCGCCTGTCTGTAAATCTTCCAGTTTATGTGACATTAGACATATATCATCCAGGAGCGAAATCCAGATCTTCTACAGTCTTGTCACCGGTGGTCCAGCGTACTCCTGTCTCCTCACTCCCAAGCACAGTCTGACGCATAATCCAGTCCACCACAATTAAGAATATCACCGTGAGTGATAATAGACAGCCAGCCACTCTTACTCCTGTGTTCACCTCGAACGCTGCGCTGAGTTTTCTATTATGGATCACCTGACTAGCACGTGACATTGTCATATGGCCAGCTGCTGAATGAGGTTGATAAAGACTTGGGCACTGCACGCTGTAGTGTTGAAGTAGCTTCCGAAATGCGTCTCTCTGTCGGCGCTGTCTGTCGAAGGCCTATTCGAAGTCGATGAAGCTGAGGTAGAGAGAGGTTTGACTGCCACTCTATGCTTCATTCGATGTTCGGCTCCTTAGCTTTCGCTTCTTCGATTTCGTCAATTTTGATCTTCAGTTATAAAAACTATTACTTCAATTAAAAGTTCTCCCCCAACTGCAAATTTAATTGACTAATGTTTCCGGACCTCCATATCCTAGTTACGCAGTGTGTAACATGTTTTGCAATAATCAGTGGTACTATGCTGTCTCTTTAGACTGAGGTAGGTGCAATGGATTCAGAAAGTTGAACCTTATACCTGGAAATAATTAAATTAATAGACGACGTTACCACTAAATTACCATGTAATATCCTTACAAGAACCGTAGCAAAGATACGAAACAGTATGAATATCAATGATTGTCTATAATAGACGACTCTGTCAGATTTAACTTCAACTATTCGATTTGCAAATGCTGTGATGGAAAATGCTGAACACTTTGTGCTTACAATAATCATAAACAATATTTCGCTTAGAGAGGATTGCTTTGAAAATCGAGATAACTATATCTAGTTGGATTCTGAATTTACTCCAAACACAGTACAAATCAACGTGTCCAGCTATCACGGACTTTTGAAGATCAAACTATTTGCTATTCGGCTGCACAATCTTGTCATTAATTATTGGGCAGCTAAACAAGAGATACTTAAATCGATAGTATTAGGTTAATCCTCCTTCAGTTCTTTCGTCATCTTATTAACTCCCTACTCGCGGCATGTATTACTTACAAGAATTAGTAAGCAATGCACCGATGGTCTGTTGCAACAATCTTAAATAGCAGAGCAACAGACTAACTTGTAAAGAGGAAGAATGAAGATAACTGTGAAACAATACAGAAAGCATGAAATGAAGACAACAGAAGAAGACGAACAACTTCTCCGAAATGAAATTTCAACGTAAGATTTTTACATCTTGCTATCATTGTACACAATTCTGCAAATAAACAATATGCTACCAAATACTGCTGTGTTCATTTGCATCGTTAAGTCAAACTTTCTGGTGTTTATGTAACACAAGATTTGTGCAGAACAAAGCATTAATGAGGATAATAAAAATGAAGTAACAGCTTTAGGACTTTTAGGGAGAGCTGACTCAGTGACCAAATCGCTGTGCAGCTTACCTACATATACCCAAGTTTATTTAATTCATAATATATATCAATATCAGCTATTGTTCTCTATGGGAATTCGCTGACACCCTAAACTTAATTGGTCATACAATATAAGATTACTATATGGACTTCGGGAAATTTCTTCATTGATTACTTTGTCTACATGGGCCACCACTCAAGTGTCAAACAAAAGCACTATTACATGCCTACTTCATCATCTGTACAAATAGTTCAGCCAAATGCGTTTTCGAGCTTCGTATAGTTTGACAAAAACTATTAAACACGGTAATAAAAGAATACTGGATTTATGTGGGAAACACTTTCAGTTATCATATAACACAAAGTTGTCTTTTATCCTCTGAAATCACTCACTGGTTTTCCTAGAATACATGCTGTTTATAAAATGGGATTATGAGGATGATAGTATGTATATAAAATGATGTATTGAGAATGAAAGCATTTTCCAATCTCCAGAACAAGATCTAAAATATTTATTGCCCTGCATATTTCTGTTTATAGCACTGACCACAACCCTCAATGATAAGTACTTAATGTGAGAACTAAAAACCTACCTCACTCAGTGCTGCATAACTATTATATCGTTCGGTGCCACAGTATCTGGTAATCCGTAACAATATCTGCACATAGAAATATTATTTGCAAAATATGTACAGAACATACATCGATTGGTTCTTCAGGTTTTGGATCAGGAACTACAACGTCTCGACCTACAAGAAGTATTCAATTTTGAGGGAAATTGGTTCATAACATACCTTCCAACTCACTTTCATCTACATCCATTAGAGCCTCCACAAATTCATTAACCTAAAAATCATTAAAAGTGTGATGATCTAAAGCCATAAAAAATTGACTGACTGGGTTTCAACACAAAACTTTGCAATGAAGTGCAGTAGTCCACGTTACCATACCCCATGTATCACACAATGGTAGAGGAGAAAAAAGAAAATCAAAAACGAACAACAATGGGTGAGACGTAAGTGAGGAAGAAGAGTAAAATGTAAAGACATGATTACAAACAGTGAATGCGACACTGAGAATGATTTCCAGCCATATCACCATTAGTCTCCAGACATTGGTACTTATTATCCCAAAGTCCCCAGCCAGGCAGTCTATACCTGCCTAGGTAACTCGAACTAACAAAGACTTCATGGACTGATAGCACATTTTCGTTTCACCGCAACTAACAACTTTTCTCACCTAGTCGTATTTCAGCTGACATTGCCCGTCACCGAAAATCATAAAGAAAGTAACTGTTAAGACTAAATAATCTATGCAAAATATACTTGATATCATTGGAATTATTTCCATCGTGTGAATGGAGAGACACTTCAGGCGATACTTCTTTTGATAATCATAAATGTAATCTCTGTTCTTAACCTTTCTAAACGTTAACATCGTGGAATAAAAAGCAACAAAAATGAGAACCACGTGGTTGGGGATGACAGCTAATGTTGTAACTGGGATAAGAATGAATTTGGATTCGTCCTACTATTACTTCCACACACACACACACACATAACTGTACACGAATAATCCCTCGAATACTATTCTTATGTTTCACCAGCTACTTACAACACTGATGAGTGTACAGCTGAACAACTTGGCTTAAAAATCGCAAAAAGGAGTGTTTTCATCCCACATTTCAGATAATCACCGTAGATGAGTATCAAAAAGCATGGAAAATAGGATAAAAATATCTTGCCAACTGATTGAGAGCATTCAAAATTAGAGCTTATACTGGATTCTAGAAAACACAATACAGTAACCATTCTGTAAAGAAAGTGAGATAATAATATAAGAAAGAACATAAAGTTAAAAAATGATGCTTTCTGAAATTTGAAAAATAATACTTCTTACTTCAACTGATGTTTTGGTTCTTACAAGCTGTCCCAATTCAAATGGAGAAAATGAAATATCTCTGGTGAAATAATAGTTTACATTTTTTGTAGTAACAATAACTAACCTTTCTAAAGCATTAATCAACTCCAGTAACTCAGCATCTGACCATTTCAAACAAATATCATACAGGTGTCGGTATTGTAGACTTTTTCTGCGCCCGTATCCCATGACTTTTGTCTAAGTTTTAAGCAAATATATTGGTTGCTAAGAAAGAATGGTCTACGTGCAGGACACTCCAGTTCTAATCACAGAAAACGAAGCTATAAAAAGTCAGAAATATTCGGTTATGATTCTTTAGCTACAAGTCAATCACATAATATTTAGAAACTTCACTCAAATGAAACTGTTTAGATACTAAACTGCATATGAACAGTATCTGAAATGATAGGGGACTTGTAGCTTAGGTGGATGACTTGGATGAGATTGTGTCCTCTGAGCTTCACAACTTAACCGCCCAGCTCAGAAAACATAACCACATCGGAAAGTGTATGCATTGTTCAACAATAACACTCGCACGAGTTTCAAAACATGGATGTGGACGAACGAAGAGAATACTTATACTGTAATCATACAAATCAATGCCCACGTCAGAAGACCCTGAAATTTTCTTTTACAGCACGAAAGATTCTTACATGCAATTTACTCTGAAACTCCATCAGCCAATTACAAATTATTCTGCGATCACTAAGGTAATCGGTCAAAATATTTGTAAAACATCTGTTTTCGGCCGATCGTGTAATATACGACCACTACTTTTATTAAATATTTATCCTATACATTTTAACTGACACCAAAGTCAATTCGAAAGACACTTCTAATCTGAAAAAGAATTCAACGCTATATGAAACTAAATAATACCCTGAAATGTTAAAACTATACTAAAACAACCAGTCACCAGCACGCATTTGCTCAAAAGCTTGCTTCCTGTGCTAACTAAGTGCAATTATTAAAAAAATTATGACCGACGTCGATTAAATTCCGAAAGCACTAGCTAAATGCTTTCTATACGATCTAGCATGCTCATCTGTAGAATCGCTTAAAAGTGAAAGGATTGATTTGTACAGAATCTACATTGTCTAAATGCATTCATCCAAAAAAAAAAGATGAGAATATGATTTTATTCATAAATGCACCAATTCAGGTTCTCACCCTTTGGAACAGTATAAAAGTCAGAAGTGGTACACTAAATAATACTATAGCTAACAAACAAGTGTGAGGAAACAGTTAAAAATAATCTGAAACATTGCAGGGACCTGATACATCTGGAACCCTGTGAACGATTTTAAGCCATATCACCAAGAGTATAAACCCAGTGAGTGAAAACTACATTCACCTCTTGCATGCATTAGTGGTTTACGTACCCGAAATGTATCTCAAGAATTTGGATGATATAGTTATACCTACAAAACTTTATTTTGTAGCTTATAATTATGATAGTATCTCTCGGCCTCTGGTATTCACCATGGAAAGTGCATTACCGGGCTTGGTAAAATCATTTTGAACTTCTCAGTGAAGACCGAGATAAGCAACAAAAAGTACAACCAAACTTGAAATTCAGAAAATATACTAGTTGCTCTAACTTCTCTTGAGAAGCACACTTCTATCCTTGAAGTCAGCGGCGGATATTACACCTTATCCTCGTATTCCATTAAATTGTAACGGTTGAATTATCCCCTTGAACAATGTTAGATGAAGTAGGGTGATTTTAGAAAAGAGTTGGAGTCAGGTTGATACAGTACGAATCCATTAGGTCGTTGATTGTTGATTTAAGGAACTTAGGTTGGCATAAACTGCTTGATTGACGTTAAGAATTAATGGTTGTCGAAACTGTGATGTGCTTGAGAAACGTTTATACTGAAGATGTATTAAGTCCTATCCGCAAGGACAGTTGATTTACTGTACGCGAGAGACATGCAGGTAACAATTCCTACCAATATTCATCATTCTGATTAAGAATAACATTTTTATGCTTGGTCAACCGTTCGGTTCTGCCAACGTATACCGAAAAGCTTGAGACGCAAGTGTTTTTAGCCCTTAGGAGTGCAATCGCTCAACATCCACCAAACTCAGAACACTGAGTGGACATATGAACTCACTTTCCCACCGTCCAACTTTAATTTGCATTACTGAAACGACTGTCAACCAACTTCAGAAGTAAATTTAGTACACAAAAGAACACTTTGATTAGGTTTGTCATAATCACGTCAGGGAATATGGAACACATATTTAACCTTTATATCTTTCCAGTCCGATGATCTTAACTTACGTCCTTATGTTTTTACTCTACGGTTGGGTAATTAATCCATGAAAGATATTTGTAGGGGACTTTTTAGACCAAGTTCATTAACATAACAAATATGCGACTAAAAATCCAAGTCAATGAAAGTACAATGCAACAATATATTATCAAAATGCAGTAATGAGTTATATTGATTAAAAGGCTACTTGGATACCTTGTTAAAGTCCACTGCTACAAATTGCACTCGGAAGTTATATGTATTTAAACATAAATCGTTTTAAACAAAAGTCATGTACAATGTTTCTAATTTCAACATCTAACCAAAAAGTGTACAATCATATCAGATTTCAGATTTAGATTCAGATTTATTGGTTGAGGATAGAAGGCTTGGAGCCTATGTTAATCCTTTTCTAGTAAATTTCTGTGGTTGTCCAAACTTTTCTTGAACGAATCAGCTGAAGTTGCAGACATCACTTCTTGTGGGAGTCTGTTCCAAGAGTTTATGACTCGGTGTGATAACCAGTACTCAACAGCAATATGATTTCTTCTTGGCTTTTGAACTCTCCTGCTATGTCATCTAAGGTGTTCCGACCTGGTGGGAAGGAAAAGAGAGAACAGGTCAGGTCCGTAGCCGAAAATGTTGCTTTGGTTTTCCTCTACCGTTGCGTGTCAAATTACGGTGTACCAATTACTATTACATCCGATCGAGGTGCTCAATTCCAATCGACGCTGTTTCGTGAACTGGCGAGACTCCTGCGAGTGAAACATATCTCCACAACAGCCTACCATCCGGCAGCGAATGGTCTTGTGGAAAGATTCCACAGACAACTGAAAAGCTCCCTGATGGCACAGAATGATACATCTAAATGCAGTGTATACCTGCCTCTGATTTTACTCGGCATCCGATCTACGATCAAAGAAGATTTAGGATGTACACCGGCTCAACTCGTTTACGGCACCTACCTAACCTTGCCTGGACAGCTAGTTTCCTCAGCCGATTCGACGGACGTGAACATTGCTGACTTCACTAACCGACCAACTAGACAAATGCTTCAGCTTCAACCAACAGCACCTCGACAATCTCCCCGACGAGATCAGATCAACAAACATCTGGAAACTTGCAAATTCGTCTTTGTTCGAGTCGACGCAATCAGAAAAGGATTGCAACCCCCATATGAAGGTCTCTTCCAAGTTATCAAACATTCAGACAAACACTTTAAAGTGAACAAAAATGGAGAATGGGAGACTATTTCTATTGATTGGGTCAAACCAGCCTACACAGACAGCGATTTCGAAGCTACATCGACAACGGCACAACCAAATAGTCGGACATTTGATTCCACTCCAACGTCACCAAGTCTTCTGCACCCTCCATATCAAACACGTAGTGGTCGACAAATCAGTAAACCGGCTCGCTACGTTCATTTTGTGGACTGACAAAAACAGTTACATTTTTCTAATGTTTAGACATTATTATCATGACTATTACTATCTCTTCGTACACCTTGATGTCACTGTTACTATGAAAACTAATTATCATTATTATTTATTTATTTATTTATATGTATCTCAGCTACAAAACAGGTATCGCGTTTTTTTTCCAGAAACGATTCATTTTCAATCCATTTTTTCTTTCCCCCCTTTAATGACTGTATACATAGATATCTTTGCTTATACATTAAAAATCTTTGTTTATGATTTGTGCAACTAGAAACTCACCTCATTTAGTTGACATGAAATTCTATTTCAATTTTTGTTGTTAACTATTTGTAAATGCGTTCAAACCTTACACGGTTCAAATACCTTTTGCGTACATGGATGTTATTATGTATCATTATTTTTATCCTAAAAATGGTTATTATTATTAGTATGAACTTCACTAACAGTGACGGTCTCCAGTGGTCTCTCCGGACCTCTAGGAAGGTAGCCGTGTGGATAACGTAACCATATTGGACTTAGGTGTCATAGTTAGTCACGACAAGACAGTCATAGAAAGGCGCTCATACAATTATCTCACTAAGCCTAATTGTGGAATAAATAATAGGACATTACAAGCAGCAATTATACCCAACCCTTTGAGAGATACCGTAGGATCCACCGCACCACCACCCTCAAACCACACAGAATTATCCTATCAGAGAGCGACACCAACCGAAAGGCCACTAAATTGTAATCAAATAGCCAATAAAACTATACCACCTATCACCGTAGATATAGACATGTCACCAAATAATCCCGGAAAAAACTCAAAATCCCCCGAAAGTCGACCCTGTCCCCTCCTAGCCATAAGTCCATTGGTAAAAAAAGGAGAATATGACCCGAAATCATGCCAACAACAACAATGGCAGTATAAATAAGCCCGCATTCCCCAATAGTATTGGCACCCACAACGTGCGAAATAGCACCATGGCCCACACTGATAACCAACGTCAGAATAATGCCACCCTCAATAGTACAGGTGGCAATAGTCAGAACTCGACCACCAACAACTCAGGGTATTTGCAGTATGGCACGCAAATAAATTTTGATCGGATATATGGTACAAGTCTGCTGGGAACTAACCCACAAAGCAGTACACACGAAACCCATACAAGGACACAACTAGTACCAAACAATAGGTGGAATAATAAACCATGGTCTTCAGAAAGTCCCAATCATTTTTTATCCCCTGCGTCCCTATCAGCGTTGAAAAAACAGCTGGTAGGGATGTTAACACTCCTAAACCGCTAGTGCTAGCCTCCCACTTGCATGAATACAGGAACCGTCTAGTGCACCGGCATCCATTAAGCACACTTGATACATGCACAAGTTCAGGTTATTGTGCCATGTGACCTAATGGGAAGCACTTGTCATGAAAGCTGTTAATGTGCAGCATACTGTATGATTGGGATGGAGTCAAAGCAATCCAATATTACAACTGCAGTCATTG